ATCTGTATCACGTGACCAGTTTTGATCGCTGGGTCGCGAGCGACTGCAACGACCAGGTCGTCTTGGTCGCAGCGACCATCGACGATCATGAGAACGAAGGTTCTATATAAGACTGGCATGTCTGCCATTAGATAGGAGCTTCGTGCTCAACTTAGTTATCAATCTTATCATATTAGTTTGACATCTTTGATACAAGTAACGAGTTCACTTCCAAGTGAACAACCCGATAGTCTTCTTCTTATCATAGCATACCAACCAGCGAACACCCAGCCAAGTTTAGTTAGCCAGTTTGAGTATTCGTTACACATCTTTGGAATAAGCTCGCGCTTACATTTGTTAGACTACAGTATGGGAAACACAGCTCATGTCTCAGAATTCTTAAAAAGATTAGGTTAGGACGTATTTGATTCAAGGAAACCATGAGTTAACCATGTCTATGGCATTTGTACAGTGTATTTTAGGGGTGAAACGTTCACTGCAACCACCAGATAGCTCTTTAAAATACATTTGGCCTAAATGGACTGCCTTTTAGAGGGGAACCCACCTTGACTGAATGGCCTCGAGGCGCGACGTGCTTGTATAGGTACTGTACAAATCCCTTCAATAGTTGTCCGAAGCTCGAGAAGGAGGGTCTAGTTTCCGCCGTAAAATATTTAAATTCGGCTGAAGAAGAGAAATGGGGAGTACGTATCATGCTTGCGATACCTATATTTAGTGTTATTAGATACAAGTTCGGTTATGATTTGCTCAGGTACGGTTTTAGGAGGGGTATATCTTCTATTATTTGGTATAGAAAGGTGTTTAGTATCTTAGGATTGTTGAATTCCTTAATCTCAGTATATTGGAGATCCGAGGAACGAGGAATAAACCTCCATCGAGGCGAGAGGATAATACTAGATTGTGAATTCCTGGTGATTTCAACGAAAGAATAATCATCAACTTGGCTGGTCAAAAACTATTACTATACCAGATATTTGCCTCGTATATAAACTTCTCGCGGCCTTGCGCAATTTCGCCCGCCAGTCCATGTTAGGTATGATTCCGAATGATTAAAGGAGGAAAATTCTCGACTTCGATTAGGATAAAGCATTACGCTAAAGACTGTTTACCGTGTTTGGGATTTCTACGCAAACTTTTATTTCTGCCTTGCGGCCTGCTTTCTTTCACATCGAACTTGTTGTTCATGCCTATAAGAAACTCAAGCATAGTCGACAAGTCGAGAGTTGTCTTGTTATCTGTCTCAAATAGTTTCTGATTCGGCTTATCCCGTATTATGCCAATCACTCACTTGAAGCCAGAGTTAAGTATCCAATTGGGAAGCAAAGTCAGAGGACAAATAAATAAGCGAGAATAGATTGGCCAATGGTATTTCTTCCTTCATTCTTTATGGCTACGTATCAAAATTCACTATCATTTTCGCGTCGATTATATTCGCTCCATGCTTGTGACCTATGTTTAGGCTCTTCTCGGACCCATTCGGGTTTTATTGCGTAATACAGCGTCGGGTCTATAGCTGGCAGTGGTGGTTGTTGTAGTGCAGGAGTAGCCTGCTCAGATTTGGGGGCGCGGTAATACGCTGTATGTCGCCTGGATTCCTGCCCTGGCTGGAATTTAAAGGCTCGGTTGCGGCGAAGCTTCTTGACTTAGAGGGGTGGTGTGATCGCTCAGGTGGTATTGGCGGCGACGGATGATGACTTTGCATTGAGGTCGGGAGAGGTACTTTTTGTTGTGTTTGTAGAGGTGCTCGCTCCTCGTTTTTCTGGTGGGATGACTTCGCACCTTGTTCTGTATAGACCTCAGAGCCCTCTTCAACCACTGGGTACATCTTTTTCTCAGGGTGATGTTTGGTATGTCGTTCCTCACTGTCCAGGTCAGTCGGATAAGGAGCCTTGTAAATGTTATTTGGTGATATGGCAGCGTAGGGTCGGGGCTCTCTATCCGCTAAAGCCATCAAATGGTCGGGGTTTGGAGCTGGCTCTTTTCTTGTCGAGCTTTCGGAGTGAAATTTCTTTCGTACTGGTAGTGCATCCTTCATGCCTCTCTTCTCCCCCTTTTTCTGTTTCTCTGGGTGGTCTGAGACTAGTTCCTCCTCTTTTATCACGCCCTCAATATCGTCCTCAGAATTCTGGCGTATCCCCAAGCGTTCAAAGTCTTGTTTGTACATTGTAGCGTGTCGTTGAATCTCAGTCGAAGGACGCATTTTGACGAGGCGCCTCACTATGTTGTCCACGCTAGAGCGAGCCAATTGAAACGATACCCGAAACAAGATATCCTCATTACTGTCGAACCAAGTCCACAAAGGATTCATTACACTAAAGGACTTCGCAACTAACCAAGGGCCGTCTGGGTTGCTTTCATTAGCTTCTTTCACATCCGCGAAGCGAAGAGCGTGATACATTTCTGAGAAATGTCGAAACTCAGGTGGCATTCCTTCGATCACTATGACTGACTTTTGGGGGAACCGCATGATATCTGCAATGTGAACAGCTCGCTCCAAGATTTCTCTTTGGCCGAGCAGTTTATCTTTAGTGGAACGATTAATTCTGAAGCATTTCGTATCATACTTGTCAATTTTGAACTCATCTACATCAATGGATCTTGATTTCATGAAGAGGCTGGAGCCCTTGCTTTGATCCTCTCCAAGAAGTCCAAGAACATTTTCCAGTATTGCGAGGGCGATCGAGTCTGTACTCCTGGATGGAATGACGAATCCCTCCAACTTCTCGCTCAATTTCCAAGGGGAGTTGAGATTTGTGGTTTTGAGCACGAAAAAAAGGATATCCAGGTGGTTCGGTCGAGGCTTGTGGGGCTTTCACTTGTGTACGGAGAAAGTGCTGTAATTCGAACTTGTCTCGAAAGGGCTCCTTCTGGTACTTTACCCGTGTGTCCATGGCAGTCTGTAATTGCTGTAACAAACCCTCTCCGGCATGAACAAGCCCGTTTGTCGCATCTAAAAGACGGCGTTCTTCTCGGGATGCGGGCCCACTCGTGAGTGTCTTGTAGACCAAGTCATGATCAATCTCAGCCCAGGCATGCATAAGAACGGATGCAACCTGTATCTCGATGACCGGATTCGACGCCTGAAAGTCCTCACGTTACTTTTTAGTAGACAAGTTATCGATTCTCATCTTCACCCGATAGTGGTCCGCCCGATAGCCTTCAAATCTCTGCTTGAAAGCAAAGGAGGTGCCGTATGATGGAGTCGAAATTGTGCTCATTTCCTTTTCCTCTTCCTCTGGGAAAGGTTTGTGATTGACATCCGCAAATGCCTCGTGCATGATCTTCTTGATCTTTTCCGCATCGCTCGGAAAATATAATGCTATCCGAACCCCAGCAAGGTCAACAATCTCGTCTCGTATTTGAAGAGAACTTCTATAATTCTTCCTTTGACTTCGTACACGTTCTCGAAGTTTTGCCTCGAGTCGATTGCCTTGTTTCACTCGATGAGTAACAATCGCTCGTATGCCGTTGCTTGCTAGCAGAGTTTCGCATAATTCGTGGGCGAGGCTGGCTGCCTTCTCGTAGAAATATTTAATTTGAACCCAGTCTGTGATAAAGGAAGCGAAAGCATCGTTCCCAAAATCACTCTCTGGAATTGAGCTGGAGATGGAAGGAGCTATGGAGGTCATAATAGCTGGCCTTCTGATGCGACACTCTATAGTGCTCAATATGGGGACCCAGTGCTGTTGGTGCGGATGTGCAGAGGGGAAGGGAGGCGAGATTTTAGCGAGATGGTGACTATTTAGATGTTATTTAATTATCAAACCTGATAGTAAAACGGCCTTGTTACATGTAGCTTACCTTTTGGGTTTGTATGTTACAAAATTCATGTTCGAGCAGGAGGGAGGGGAGTGAGTACTTTTATTCAAATACTGTATATGCACGCTGCACCTCACTGCAGATGGCTGAGCATTAGGCAAATCAGCTATCTCTAAAACCCTTGACAGGGCTCCCTTCGAAGCTCACCGAGCTGCGGCCAAAGCCATGGATCCCATGACATGTCATTGAATACATGCACTTTTTCTTTACTCTTAAATCCAACGACCTTTGGCTTCCAAAAGATATGGGAACACCTTACGCTGACTACGTTCGCGCGCAAAGCTGTCGCAACCCCTGTCTCTACAACCTTTGTCAGTTTTTAGATCGCGAAAATAAGGAAAACGAGTGTCAAATCACCAGCCTAGATTTCTTCTCTGGTAATGAAATGCCACGAGTGGTTGATCTCCAAATAATAGATGTCGCATCGCTTTTAAGGCACCCTGATTGCAACATGAACACGGCAGGGCGGATTCTGATTATTGAGAATCTCACTCGTGATGTTGTCGAGCTCCTTGGTGTATCTTTGAACGTCGATCCTCCGTTTTTTGCCTCTCATATATACGGTCCGACTGTTGAGATCACAGCCTCGAAGCCTTCCAGTGCTATCTTGCCGTCAAAGTCGAAGAATCTCAACTTCTTGAGCATTCAATACCAACACACCATACAATTTCATGATGCAGTTCCTCCAAGAAAGCTTTTCCGAGACAGTAATGTACCTAGGAAAGTTGCCATCTTGCCGCCCACTAAGAAAACAAGTATTGGGCTAGTTCATTATGCTTGTTCAGTATTATATATACGAACGGGGAACGATAATTGGATCAGTAAGATACAACACTATTTTCGAGGGTTGCTGGTTAATATATACTAGGTATAATACTTGTAGATCCCCCAATGGAAGACAAATTCAATTCACCAGAACAACAACTCACCCTCCAGTCAAAACCCTTCCAAGGCGGTTACGAGGATTTCCTCGAGCGTCAAGCATTTCCCGATCAAGTGAACTGGGATCCCCAACGCTCATCACTTCGAAAAGACCTCGTCTATTACTTCCAGAAGAAACGGCCTCCAGGTTTCAAGTCCAAGGATCCGACGTTATTAAGCCTCGCTTATTACCCCCTGAAAATTACGGCTGCGGACTGGGTCATTTACATTGAAGCAAGGAGCAATATCATCAAACAATATGAGTACTCTACAGAAGCGACTCCAGGACCAACCTCCGCGGGACAAAAACGACTCACGACAATCGACTCAGACCTACGGGCACTTCAAGTTTGGGGTCGCCGCAGTCTGAAAACGCTCTCTAAACTTCGTTCCGGTCTCCGATTTCTAAAGTATCGAACCAAGGATGTACAAGAGGATGAGTATTTGACACTGATCGATGATTACGAGCATCTCATATCCATGGTGAATATATACAGGCATCGGCTTGAGACTCTGGTACCGCTTCTCACGTCCGTCGTCCAGATCACGGATACGAGGAGGTCGTTGAGGGAGGCAGCTAATGTTACAAGGTTGACGAATTTGGCGCTATTTTTTGTGCCGCTGTCGTTTGTTTCTAGTCTTTTTAGTATCAATGAGGGTGTTTCGGCCAAGGGTTATGGGTACTACTTCGCATTGGCGATTCCTGTTTTTGGGATTGTGCTTTTTCTTGCGCACCCACCGGAGTCGGTTAAGTGGTTGGGATATGTTGGACGAAGAGGAAGAAGTGAATAAGGGCTAAACCACAAACTCTGATGAGCCTCCGTAAAACTTTCAAATTAAAGAGAGATCCACGGCGTTTTCTTCTTGTCAAGTAAATAGAGGGTCAAAACTTCCTGTTCCGGCTTGTCTTTAAATCTTAATCAATTACTTGAATAAGCAGTGGTATAATTAAAAGTCTTCCGGGTTAAGAATAAAATCAAGAGGGAATGCGAAGGAAAGTGGCTATAGGCTAGAAATAATAGATGGAAGAGGTGAATTATAATGGCATGTTAAGCGAGGAGCAACGATGAGGTTGAGAGATTATACCAAGAGAAGAGAAAAGCTAATGTAAACACAAATATGTTCTCATTGATCTCTAGTCTTAAACGATATTACTATCATATAAAGTCAGAAACCCAATTATGCCTTTCATACTCTCCCAGGCTTTCTCACGCTTTCCTTTCTAACAAAAGCGGAGGCTCACGCTGGTTCATATTCCTTAACATGGACTAGAATTTGCTAATATTTAAAGAACGGCAACGACATTGAACCGCTACTCTGAACCCATGAGAGGTAATATATAAAAAGAAGATTCCTGCCTAGAACTTGAGTATACATTAGGTAAACCCTAGCGGTCGTGAATAAGCGAGTTTAGAACTTTCGACGCTACTTTAGATTTCGTTCCTTAACATGGCACTCTGCGCCATAGAGCTGATATTGGAGTATCTTCGAAGAACGCATGTAGCACAATGACAAAAAGAAAACTTGTCACTGCGTAACTTCAATTGATACTGGTTAGCTACGGAAACTTTTTGAAACTTTCAAAACGTTTCTTGCATACATTCCTTTGAAGCTATAATAGAAAAATACTTTCAAGATGTAACTTAAGAAGCGTTTTAGAAAGAGCCGCGATATTCATTATTGTTTATTAGTATTATAGTAGATCGAGAGTCGGAAATACAAATCTTTATTTTCCCCTATAAGAAATGTCGACTGGAGTTTACTTAATACTTATCTACGCATAAACTACCGAAGCTTACAGTAACTACTTTTAAAAGGAAATTTAACAAGAGCAAAGCTTAAGTCTATTACATGTGAAAATCCTGCTTTTTTTATTAGCAACTTCAGGAACATGAGCTATAAAGAGGGACCAAAGTATATAGACACTGGAGGGAATATGGAACCTCGTAACTATACCTACGCGTATCAGTCTTTCTAATTGATAAAGAGATAGAATTAAATATCATTAACTCTAATATGCTTTTCATGCGAATACTCAACGACGTTTCATGCCTAATCAATATGGTCGGCGCTCTAAGCCATCTTTCATTCGAGAGTGTTTTGGAATTATGCTTTCACTTCCCTGTAGGTATCAATATAGAGGCAGTTATCACTTGGCTTTTTCCATTATACTCCTTCCCAAGCCCAACGAATGTTAAAGTGTAGTGGAGTATTTGCCCTATATTCCGGTCCTATTGAAACATCCCTTGTAAAGCTACCTAAAGTTACGAAGCACTTCATACCTACGTCTGAGGTCTGAGACGAAGTACTCGCCCCAGGCTTAACAAATGTTAAATTTTGGTCGTTCTTTAATGGACTTTTCGCGTTTTTGAATGAAGTCAGGGTAAATACTCCACTAAATATTAACATTTGTTATGCATGGTACTGAGTATTGCGCGCTTACTGGTTAAATGGTTTACAGAGATGTCTTTTTCAGGGGGTCTCAAAAGCTGAGATCTTCGAGAAGCTGTGGACTGATGCCTAAACCGAACAACTAAACAAGAAAACCACCAAGCCTCCCCTTTCCATACCTAGTGCTTATTACAGACTATATCGACCCCTTTCTACAGATCTTCTACCGCAGTTGAACGGCAGTTCTACATTTCTCGTCTGTTTTATCCTCATGTACCGACTCCTCACCACAAAACCCCATAAATTAAACTCTAGCCGGCACATGAAAATTCGAGACCCGAAAGCATTGCCGTACGACGCCCAAGCCCAACGAGTCTTCCACCCATTCGGTTCGAATATTGTTCGGTGAGAGCGGTTCAGAGGGAATGACTGTGCTCTGAAAACAATTTGTAATTACCCGGCATCGAAGCTCATGCCAATGTTTGAAAATGTCTCTGATGATGTGGTTAGTCCCGGCGAATTGGACTGCTTACCGTAGCCTTACGAAGCAACTTGTACGAAGTAAATTACCATGAGCATAATGTAGTTGGATAAAATATGTGTTTCACATTGGAACCAAAGTCAAAGCAAGCTCGAAAGAAAGGTCTCACATGTCCACTTGTCCACACGAGACCGGGCGACTCACATTCAAACCTTCTCTACACTTCACCTCACCTTCTCCGACATCCCATGCAGCGATCACTGCATTCCCCTCATCGCCACTGCCTCAATGCCATCGCCATCCCCTTTTCGGTCAGTCCTGCGGAAAACTTCTTCATCTGATTGAGCAGTTCCCCCAAAGTTTAACCTTTTTCACATCCTCGGAAGCGAGTCAAAAAGAAATCCCCACCGACCATTCCAGGTTCCGGAACTTTGGAAACAAACCAAGGTAAGGAAACGTTATGCTTATCCGGCTAAGTTCCCGAGAGCATAAATAAGAAAGCTAATTATGGCGAGGAGTGAGTTGGGTAGGAAATGCAGTCGCATGTCAGGAGGGATGGGAATTGAAGATTTCATGATTCTTTTACAAAATTTGCAAGACGATAAGACACCCAGGTAACAGAATCAACAAAACGGAGATCATGACGAAGTAGGAAATTACCATTCTCTTCACCTAAACCCAAAAACCCACATGGTGACAATGTCCATGCCCAAAGTCCCCACCGACCCGAATCCCCGATCTTCAACCAACAGACATCCACAATGCACAAAAGAACTCCACCCTTCCATAATCTCAAACGAAGAAAACGAAAGTGAGAGATCATCGACAACCTCGCAAGCTTGGCTAGAAACGTTCAATAATGCGGAATCAAAGCCCAAAGACCCATTGGAATCGATAGTTTTGTACCCACAACGTTGAAATGTGCGTATTGAAATGCGAACACACTGAACACAGACCTCTCGCGGAGATGTACTCCAGAAAAATGACATACCAACTTATAAATTTAGAAGTATCAGAAATCAGAACTCAGAAAGGGAGAAAACAGATAACATCGCGAACTGTGCGCAGTATTTACGAGACACGAAGTAGAAGTAGTTCGAATTTCGTACGGTACTTACCTATCGTATAATCCTGGAGAACTCCACAGAATAGTTATCAATTATTATACGAAGTAGCAATACTCCGTAGATAGTTGTGATAACATACCGAATTTTCCGAACTCAAAGGAGGACAAGAATTTGAATTCGTCTTAGCTTCGTCTCAAACATACCTTCAAATGATACCAGCGATTGTTGAAAATTCAGAAACCTGGTGAATTGAAGGAGATACTCTCCCCCTTGAAAAAGAGGCCATTATTCTGATGGCAGTATATAAAAAGAATAACCTTTGGAACCACGCAGGGGGAGTACGAAGTAAATACTTCTACTTTACTTCTACAAGTATCAAAACCGAAAACCTCGGCTTATACCTAACCCTACCCTATATAACTCCCCCCTTGCCAACTCCCTCAGTCAACCCCACTAGACAAGCTGTCACTATCATACGATCTCAAGAACTCCGCCGTGCTCGATTGTCATCACCGCGATCGAGGACGAAGATCACCCTTTAAATAATTTCAAAAGAATCAAAAAACAAAATACTTCGGAGTATCGTTACATCCTCGCCGTCAGTTTATTACCAATCATTATTCCCGTAAACCCAGTAATTTGCTAAATACACAATCTATTGGCGGCAAAGTCTCCGTAAAGTACTTTCTGCAACGCGTGCCGGAACGAAGTACGGACGGAATATGTATGCGATAGAGTCCGTATTTACTCTACCGGTACATCCCAATTAGGCAAGGTAGAGTATGATTCGCTTCTTCCGGATGGAACATTTCGTACTCGCCATTTCAAACTCCTTATTGGATCAATCGTCTTGATCCTATGAATCTCAATTTTGCGTTATTCGCTATCGCCGAAAACCATTTCAGGTAGATACAGTCCCTTTGAGTTCATAGACGGTGCTCACATCGAATTCCTCGATGAGATACTTGTCCACTAGATTATACGGCGAAGCACGTACCTGACTCTACTACCTAAACATATCTCTAACTTACCAATACCCTAAAAACCTGGAATCAGTCATCTCTATCTCTACCTACTGTACCTCTCCCTCCCTTCTTGCTTCCTTCGCATTAAATAAGCCCTCAACACCGAAAACAAACCTCTCCTTTCTTACCGTAGCGCCCTTGACGCAGTTAAAAAAGAGGATCTACAGTTACGGACCTTCCACGCCTCCTAAACCCACTTTACATGAACGGGAAAAGACTAACATCACATACCCACACTACCCAATACCTTCTCGAACTCGGAGGTATTACCCTCTTTTAACCTTCTCTTCTTCTATTTGTGCCAATAACAGTTGTCCCTATGTACACCTGTTGTGGAAGGGGGAGGGTTATCCTTCCCTTGTTTGAAGCCTGGCGGGCCGTTGCCGAACAGTTATTTTGCGGTCAGGAAGGTAGGTACCGGTAGTTGGTGGGAATTGAATCAGGGTAAGATTTGCGATTGTAAAGGGATGATGAGAGATACTCGTATGGAAGGGAGAATAATGAAGGGTTCAACTACGTACAGCCCCTTCGCAAAAGTAGCAAGAATCTAGGGTATCTTACTAGTGTGTTGTAGGGTATTTTGCAAGGTATTTTGTAACGTACTTCATAAGGAGTCCGGATTTATAAGCAGTCCGGATTTTTTACCCCACCATCCAACTTTTAAAAATCATAGAACTTTAATCACTTAATATTTATTTATATAAACTATACTATCTTTCTTATTCTCGATCTGGGCACCTAGGAGCAGTATGCGCTAGTGATCTACATATACTACAGGTTCGTGGTGCACGAATTCGTGGTTCAATTAGCGGGGCCACAGCTTCATCCAAAACCATATTATCACGATTTTGAATAAGTTCCCTCCCTTCCTGACCTGTAAGAACACCCCCAGTAGCAATATATTGACGTCGCACAGTCTTCTTCT